AGCGATCACATTGGAATCCCTGAAAGACGTAAGAGCTACGAACACGAGCCGGAGGGAAGGTGATAGGGCGAAGAGGCCATGCCGGGCCATGCACTCTCACGCGCTTTGCCTTTGAATCTCTCAACAGTCAATGCATTGCCCGAGGGTTTATGAGGGTCTTCGACACGATGAAGTGGAAGACTGAGGTTGACATGCGTCTTGACGATGCAAAACCACTCAAATCCCCCGTCTCGACTCAGCTAAACAGTAGACGCATTTTGGCTCTGCAGACGCCTTTCAGGCGACCCGGCACGGTCAGGAAGAGACAGGTATGAGTCAGAATTCCATGTTGATGCCTTTCTCATTTGAAATAGAAAATCAAAATGCAAAAATTGCCCGAAGGCTATCATTTTGGTTTAGCGATTTCTCTGAGTGAAGACTTCGCAAGTCAATGGCGACTGGACAACATCTTTGGAGACCAAAGTGCTCAAGCGAGCCAATCCTCAGTTCCCAGCATCTCGTGAAACCTGAGAAGGACTCCTTGTCGCTTGGTCGCATACGAATCCTCGAAGCACCGAGTGAAGAGAGGAAATTTGAGGTCGAAGACGAGCTCATGCTCGTCTTCACATGCGAAAAACCTCGTCCTTCAAAAGAAATCTTCGATTTCACTGGTCAAGTTTTCCCTGCCAAGAATAAAAATGCAGATCATCAAGCAATCACCAAAAGTTACCTGATCTGAGGCGGTCAGCATCCATTTCAGCCTTTCGGAAAATTGGAAAGCATTGCTTTACTCCTCTGCAACTTCACAATTGCTTCTCTAAAAATATCTATATTTCAATATCTACAATATTACATTTTCTTGCGCCTTGTATATATTATTAATAAGTAATGTGTCTTTTACATTCAAATATATATATATATTCCAGTGCACGCTGCTATTGCATATGTTTAGAGTCGATGTCACCAGGTTGGTCGCGCATTGAAAATTGGCAATAGTAAATGACTACATTGCATGATAGATACGAGTGTTTGGCGATGCATGGTGAAACGATAATGCCATTTATTGATTTATCCCCAAAACCGCGGATTTCCTGTGTAAGCTTGAGAATGAGTTCCAGAAAGTTGTAAGGGTAGGAAATAATTGCATGGGAATGGGCAACTTGCCTCACGTCATACCATTATCACGGGGTGTAATCGGACAGGAAAATTCGACGCTACCGCATCGTTCGAGACTACCATAGTACACGCACTCAATGCTATCAATGTATCCTCATTTAATTAAAAACGAATTTACAATTTTAATCTTCTTCCAGGAACTGAGAAATAATGAAATTCGAGAGTCGCATTATTAGCTGAACGAGGAGACTCATTTAAATTGCAAGGGTGAGTCGTGGGGTTAACCAAATTCAGGTAGAGCAGATACTGCGATTTTTCTTTCTTTAGAGCCCAAGAAACTTACTCAATATTCCTTTTTGCCAGGCTCAGGCAATTCCTTATATCAGAAATGATGTTGACGTGATTGCATGCGTGTAAAATCCTATCATTGTGCCACATGATTAGATGCCGCAAAAGAGTGGCGTGATGTTTCCGTCTGGACGATATTCTTATTCATGAACAGGTTGATTGAAAAATAACTCCCCATTTTTAAACAGACATAATTAATATTGTAAGAAAGATTAAAGCTTCGTTCTAACGGCATTTTAAAGAAAATTTAATACCATTTTATGCCACTTGGATTAAAACCCCACATAAGCACCAGTATCTTCCACAGTTTTTCTTAAGCGCACAGCGACATTATCCACAGAGCGTAAGAGAAACTGCTGTGGAACATTCTAGGTAACTTCCTTGAAAAAATTCTCCAACTGGTCAAGATCTCTTTGGTTTCCGTTGGTAAACATTTTACTTGATCAAACCCCCAAAAAAGAAGTCCATGGGAGTGAGTTCAGGCCTGGATCTTAAAAAGGGTGCACCCGAAATTCCCAACCAAGCAAGCATGATGGTGCTCGCAGTTGTTGTGGCGTTGATCATTATCATGATGGAGGAAAATACCATCTGTGAGTCGCTCAACAGGTTTCTTCTTAATAGAAGAAAATGCTTCATATGCACGCTACGGATTTTTGCAAATTGTTGTCACCATGGACAGCGGCCATTCTGCAGTAGATGTCCGTTGGTGAGGTCCCTTCAGCCATCAAAAACAGCACCACACCGTACTGGATTTATTTGAACCCCCTCTATGCTGAGGGTGCTACCACCACACGTGACATATCTAGCAGGAAACGTATTACACGTATGCGTAAGGGAAGTAGTTCGAATAAACGTCGTTGGAACAGGGTTAACATTTTCTGTCCTGTTGACCCACAGTAGTACATTATGTAGTCGAGTGTGCAAATCGTAAATTGTTCAAGTCGTCTTGGTTAATTGAATTTTTTAAAACCCATGATTGCTCCCCTCCTTTTGCAAAACACTATTGCGATACCTTCTTGGCGGCAAGTTACCCTCATGCGCGCACTTATAATAATTGGCATCGTCGACTCAGTCGTTTGTTGCTTACGGAGAGTGTGTAACCACTAGGGGCGAATTTCTCTCATCTTTATGGAGTGTTTCGTGAGTACCATTTGTTTAAGTCATTGGGATAATTTCGAAGCGAGCATTTCAGAATAGTTTGCCGTTTGCCTCAGAATAAGAGAGGCATTGAAAAGGAACGTTAACGGCACACAATGTTCGTGTGTGAACCCTTGGGTTCCCGTCAACAATATTTCAGCTGAACCTATTATGACAACTTGAACTTTCCGACCAATTCTTTCATTGCACGAGGCAAATTTCACCGGGAAATTGTGGAAAGAGGTAATTCAAATGCTCGATCTTTCTGAGTTTAGGGATTATGCTCTAAGATTCTAACTTCCCTCAGGCAAGGAAATTTCCCCATAGATTAACAGGCATGCTCTTTGTTCCGTCAGTGTCCATGGAGCAGTGGGAACTCGGGATTTTCCCCTACGACGGAAGCTATGTTCCGCCAAAACTGACAAATCGAGGTATTGGAGTATTCCCGCTTTTAGACGAGCGTGAGTCGTCAGTGTCCTGTCCTTCTAGACGCTCGATTAACTACCGGGTGAAACATCCATTTATTTCGGATAACTCACAAAACATTGAGAGTCACACGAGGAATAAATTCCCCACTGACTCAGAAATGTCCTTAGAGACGAGACACGACTCCGAAAACTTAAAAGAGCAGGAAAGAGAAGTGGAGAAGGAAGTCCCGATCATCTGTGAACGGCATCAGGCAGAGATGGAGAAAGAAACTCTGAGGCCCTTTGAACCGAAGAGGGGGCGCTCTGCTTCGCACGATGAGGATAATGGCGAAATATCATATTCATCTGTTGAACCCCGAGGAATACCCATGGAAGAGTGGGGAAGAATCAGGGGTGTCAGAGAGCGAGGAAAAGTAAGGAAATGTAAAATTCGTCCCAGAGGAGAGCGGAGGATTTTGTGGACGACACTACGAAACAGTATAAATCAATATCCGCACTCACGGAAAACTTTCCCGGAACTTCCTCGTCGAGACTGGATGAAATCCCGGGTAGGCGGCGGGGTTTCCATTACGGAGGAAGATGGATCTTTCTTCCGGAAGCCCGTTTTAATGACATCTCGAAACTTTGTTTTTAGGCAGACGTTCCCATACTATCTCAAAACATCTTCAACTTCGTCTCTATGCTATGATCTTCAACATCGTAGTTGTTGCTCAAAGCAACACGGTGCCGATATCATCAATACAGGATCTCTGACCGAGTCTTGCTGGTTTACGATGAACTGGAAATTGCCAGGGCGGAATCCTGGTTCATATTCTCCTTATCGTCATCCGCATCCAAGACCATCCAGCCTTCATTATCCTGTTCTACCCGCCTGTCCGTTTCAGCCAAGGCAACAGAGAGCAGGGAATAAAATTACCTGTCGAAATCCCTCGATATCTACTGAGACCCCTAGCTGTATAAACAGCAGAGTATATAGGGGTCCCAAATGCACGAAAAAGGAGCGCGGAGAATGCAAAAATAATGAAAACTCCGACAAATACATAAATCCGGGGCCGACTGAAGACCTTGGTATAAAATGGTCCCTTGGTCGGGAAATCCTGAATTCAGACCTGGCAGAAGAAGCCGTTGCTCCTGAGATCCCGGTCGGTAATCCCTACAGTGACATCGCAATTCAATGCCAACTGAACACCTTTCGAGACCAGAGTGTTCAAGTGAGTCAGACCTTAATCTCTAGCATCCCACATACCCTGAGACCCATCCCCATCGATTGGCCACGGGATTCTCGAAGAATCATGGGAAAAGACACGAAGAATTCGAGATCGGAGACGAACTCATGCAAACAATCCCATCCGACAAAAGACACGGTCTTCGACTTCACTGGTTGAGTCTTGAGAGAGAAAAAGAAAGTGTGTAATCGTTCGATAAAGATTATGAAGAGCGACCAAGCCGCCTTGACTTCCATTATGTGTCGGAACCTTTCAGGTTTCCTCCTTTGTGCTAAGTGGTAATTTCTTCCAATGAAACCCTGCAAGCTCATTCGCTATTTAAGTTTCATGTACTGTATCTCCTTTCCAATGCAGCCTTCTGCTTGCCCGCACGAGAAGAAGAAATTAGGGTTATTACAGTAGTCTCCCCACGACTTAGAAGCTGGTGTGTAGTCTCTAATGGTGATGGGATTATGCCATCCATCGTTATGTCCCGCCTTCCTGAGTGAAGAACGACAGACAATAGGGTTCCTCAGCAAAAAAGCGCCATCATTCCTTCGTGAAAAGAGAAGCGTTGAACGGTCGTAGAAATCCCCATTGTCTTCAATAAAAAAAAACCATCATAGCTGGAAATTTTTCCCTTTTCCTATGCTTTCCTGCGTTTCGCTTGAATTTGTCGATCCGAAAACTGGTGAGCTTTTTTTTTTTGGAAACGTTCCGTCAATGACTTCCTTGATAGAGGAGTACAAAGGAAACAGACAGGAAATTAATCCTTTTTATTCATTGCTCACGGAGCAATTCCCTTTTGGTTAAATTCCTCTTCCTCGGTTTCTGTGGCATCTGGCTCCACCAATGCCATGAGAGAAATTCGTTCCTCCTCTCGGGTCAAATTTGGGAAACATTCCTCACAAACTGTATAGAGACAAAGGACCATACAATCACCACGCGTTTCTGTATTAGTACTACAGAGAGGAGTCGAGATGCTGACCAGGCAAACAAGGGCAATATAGACGAGAGAATGGGGGACAACGAAAAAGGTAGCCTGTCGCGTCCATCATCGGGTCCTCGAATCTCAAAGCCAATTGCAGCGATGTCTCCACCAATCTCATCAGGAATAGTATGGTTACCTGTACACATGAACATGTATAGACATGAAGCACTACTAGTAATTATGACAAATTGAGAGGAAATTCGGACATTGTAATACTGACGTCAAGCAGGAATGCCAAAACAGCGAAGAGCAAGAAAAGTAAGAGGCATCGAAAGAAGTGGGTCTGGAGCTTTACAATGCAGCCTTCATGGAAAACTGTCTCTTCCAATTCACTCAGACTCTGTATGAAACAGTACAAGACTCATGAAGCCATATGTTATGTATTACAGTTTCAGGTTATGTGTTATTACTTGGGGGTGTTGGTTGAAAGCGCAAGGTCTCAAAACATGTGGGTTACAGCAGCTATAAGGCACGTGTGGGACTTTTCTCCTAAAAAATAATAATAAACGAAGTCAATACATGGGAAGAAATAGTTTAGACTTTTTCTGCTCACACACGAAGTCCCATTTGTGGCTGACTCACTGTAGAAAGCTGTGACGATGGATCCGGGGAAGGTCAGTCCAGTCGGTAAAAGAGTTTAAGCCACAGCATCCGTACTCAATCTGCAGGCTATCAATGCCAGTTTTCGTCGTAATTTCTGTCCAATAGTCAGTCAATTCCATCTAAAATAATCGCATTTCAAGGCTGATGAAAAGAATTGGGAGAATCGTCCATTTACCCAGAAAATGGTTCAGTCTACCTCAAGGCGAGTCTGAAGAGAATCTCTAATCCGAGTGAATTGTATGGAAGCCAGAGCGATTCCAAGAATTTCTATAGCCATTGAAAATAAGCACAGGAACTGGCAATAGAGGATCAGGACGTGTATTTTCTCTGCATTCTGGAGATAGAGCAAATACATAGTTCTCGAAAATTCAATCAACATGGGCTTCTCTAGATCCTTTCACCGTTCGGAGCATACAAATTTCAATTTTCAAGAAGATGGAAAGAGACACGTCCGTGTACAGAAAGGCCCTATGTCCTCGAAACATGTCTGGCGGCATTTCTTTTTTAGCTTTTCTTTTTACATGGAAAACGCCCTTTCTCTCGATCAGCCTCGTTCCTGATGTAAGGAAGTGTCCTGGGAAAAGGAAATCTAATTATTAGGACAGAATACGAGCAAACACAATCTTTTTCCATGGGGAGGGCGGACGGGTATTAAAAAAATGTGCATGGGACAGGCACAGGGACACATAATGTGAGTTGTGATATTAAGGCCGTCCTCATGGCTATAACTCCCCTTTCCTTCCTTATGGACCCAGCTCGTTTTTCCTCATCATACCCCCTCTAATAGGTTTTTCCACTTTCCTCCATCTCCCCTCGTAAAAAAGATCCAATTTAGATCCCAGTACCATCTATGAGAGCTTTCGCCAGTTGCTTCTTGGCAGTCTTACCTCTGTACGAGGAAATCGAATTTGCCAGCAAAGAGTCGAGCCCAGGACGTGATAAAATAGGTGGAATATGCAGAAAAGGAGTATTGCAACTGAGATGCTGGTGATATCTCGATGAAATATGTCGTGGGTCAATTGGAAGTGAGCGTAGACAGAAAATCCCATCAAAGTGCTCAGTGCGATGCTTGAAACGTGGAAACCGAGGATCCACGACAGAAGAGACCTGAGAAGAGTCGACCGGGAATTCAATAGCTCTGCTGTAGGTGAGGAAGTTCTACTGCGTAAGAGAACGTACGTCCTGGTGTCTTTGGAGAGGCGCCGATGCAAGAGGAACTTGGCATGAACTTGGTTGCACTGGCAACGAAGCGTGTGAACGTCCTCGGTGTCACGGACATTCCGAGTCAGAAGTTTCCTAACTTCCATCCCTTCACTGCCTTCATCTCCATACCGCCCTCGCTTTTTGGCACTCGCCTCCTTCGACATGTCCCGCTCCTTCGACCTGCTTATTCCGATTATTGAACCTTAATGGGTTTAGGTAACGAAGTTCCAATGATTGACATGCTGAGCATTCGTCTGGCTCATGCTGACCTATGTTTTGAACCAGATCAGATCAAATTGAATCAAAGCTGGGAACAGAGCGGGTAGCTTCAAGCTCTCGTTCTCAATGGGCAGACCACTTGGACTCCGCCTTATTATCGGTTCTCGGATGTCTGCAATCATTCATTGGTTCCAGGAGACAAGCGAACTTTGACCTCCTGTGTGGAAAAAGTCCAACCTTGAATTAAAGAACCGGGGTTCACATTGGTCTTTCTTTTTCTTTTGTTCAAGGAGCTCCATCATGAAACGCACGAGCGCAACTGCGAATTCTATTGAGCAATTTATTCATCATGCAATATCTGCAGCACTAGGGTATCATTTTCTCATTCAGCACAATCATTCATTCATTCAGTCAATGAAATCACCCTTATAATCCTTTCTTTAATTTATTCGCATTAACTCATGTTTTAGTGCGACTGTCATTCGGATTCACAATAGTGTGTATATTTGGCAACACTGCCGCTTTAATGATGAATTGGCCAATAGCATTAGGCCCAAATGGACTTCCTATGTATCCGTGTCCTGTGTCTTCATCTTTTCCAAGAATGCATTTCCAAGAATGCTTGAGTTGAAGACTGTTTACTCCCTTTTCTTCATGATGCCAAATGAAGTTTAACGCAGTGGATAAGACGAAGTATGTAATGGGTCAAAGCCTCATGGCCGCTTACTCATCTTAAGGTCCTTGGCTGAGTCGTCTTGCCATGGAGACCCACCTCCCAATGGACAAAAACCAGGCAAGATCCAGACATCTAAACCTACTCCACCCTTTCAAAACGCCCACCCTCTATCCACCTGGTCAAACAACCAGGTGGATAGGGGGTGGATTTGGAACCAGGTGGACGTCCCCCCCCCCGTGGAAATTCATCTAGCCATTTGCGCCCATGTATTTCGAGCCAGGTGGATTTCCCCCCCCAATAGGTAGAAATACCTCCTAGGGGGACATCCATCTGGTTCCAAATCCACATGGGAGGTGGACATTTTGTAAGGGCCTCCTTGGTATCTGGTTCTTCTCATCCGGATCTCACGAGATGCCCAGGCTGTGGCCGACGTTGGCCTAACGTTGATTGGGATTCAGTGGAGTCCAGAGGTTAGCATCCGACGTTACTGCCCGTTACGGCTCCCAGTTTGTGGTAATCTCGCATTAACCTCACAGTCTCGTTCATCTCAATTTACTATTCTTTGGATCTTTCCGCTGAGTATAGAGATGGTATCCTACTGGCTCTAAGCCTCACTCCACCGCCCACCCGATCGGTTCGAATTGTACAGGGTGCCCAATAGAAAACCAAAGGATTTATTTATTATTTATTAAGGATTTATTTAAGATCGTTGAGTTGAGGAGCCATGGGTATTAATGAATCCAATCTGAAATAGAAATATACATTTTATTATTTACATTCGTTTATGAAAACAACAAATCGCAATGAAGCAGCATAAATATAGATGTATACTTGTCGATAGAAAACATCATTTCGTTGTTAAAGGCGTGCTAATTGCAATCCTTCGATTTTCTACTGGGCATCCTGTATATGTAGCTCTTTCCTTAGAATACTGTACTTCATTCGAAGTTGCGCTACTTCCCATTTCGTTACTTCGTTCATGGTCATCACTTACACGTGATTTGGTCCAGGTCCACGTTGGGCTCCTATTTTTATGCTAGTCCATTATACATATTATCCTTCCAGATTTTTAAACTCTTTAAGAACATACGTCCCTGTTGCTATAGGTGGAATAGTTTTCTTAGGGATTAAAACGTCACAAACTCAAATTACCTACTTTAACTTATCTGTGGTTCGTCCGTTGTTGACTGGTTGGTTTGAGGCGCAATCAAGGCATTATCCCTTTCACGCAGAGGTGTCCACTATAGTGGACAGCAAAATTTTTGGTGATAATTTTTCTTTTTTTTAGTCATGGTACACATACCTCTAAAATTTTGGTGCATGCAGTCAACGCAAGGGCACATAATCTCTTCAGTGTTGCTTTTTAGTAGGGCTGTCACAATAGATCGATGCATTGATACCACTATCGATGGTTGGAGATATCGATAGTTTTTTCGACCATCGCGATGCATCGGCAAAAGAATTTAAAGGGGAAATGTCCCATTGGATTGAGATGAGTACAGTAAAATGTAGTCCGTCCTGGCGGGGAAAGGAAAAAGCGGCGTGACCCGCATGGGCTAGCAATTTCTGATCACAATCAAATTCTTGAAATGCTGGGACTGACTATATGAAAGACGGGAAGGGGAAAAAAGCAGGTCGGATCGGAGACAGGAAGTGGGACGGGAGAGGGGGGAAGACCGAGAATATTCCTTCTCTGTTTCTGTTTTCGGCTCGATCTCATCAGGTACATGCTGCAGAGGTGGACTGCTCTTATACTCCCTTGATTTCGAAACGTACATTGGTTAATCCCCTCTCTATATTCCTGTCTCTTTAGTATACTGACTTAACTTAGTCAATTTTAACTCGCCCTGTAGCATTTTATCTCTACTTAAGGTGAACTCAAAGTGAATCTTTTACCTGGACATTGCTTATTCTAGGGCTGTACTGAAGCTTTGGCAACCGCCGGTTTGGCATCATCAGCAGGTTTCCTATCTGCCGGTGCCGATGTCCAAAGACAGTGCAGAACAAAGAAAAAGGGAAAAAGATTTACATGAACGGGCTTGGGAGCTGATTCTCAACGGCAATAAGAAGAAATTAGGGTTGTCCTGATACATCCATCGAAGAATGGATGTCATCTTCGAGAGTTGGAGGCATGGTAGGTTTCATTACTCTTTGCGAAGGTCACACATTCCCCCTGCACCCCCGACCACAAGGGTGAGCTTATGGAAGCCAGATAGTGGTCCGCGCTCCGATACAGGCAAGAAACGATGGAAGACAAACCTCCACCCGATCGCGGCGAGAAACGATTGATTCCTGGCGCCCCCCCCCCCTCTTCCCGATGCATCGATGCACTATCGATAGTTCTGGTCAATGCATCGATGTTTTGAAAACTGCTATCGTGACAGCCCTACTTTTTAGCAGTGGAACATGCGACTACTAGGGCAGAGTATCTCCTTAAACGTTAAACCAAAAAAGGCATATTTTTCTTTTGCTCGAAAAATTCATACGTGAAAGGGTTATAGGGCTTTTCGGATATACTCCATGTTACGCCTAACGCTGCGATTTCACCCATATGGAACGTAGATGTATGAAACGGGTTACACGGATTAAAGGCAAATTTTCGAGAGAATTGAAAAACGAAATGTATCTGCTATTATTTGGTTACTAAATGCAACTGAAAACGCCATCAAGTGCACAGCATCGAAGATCCACATCAGAAAGCTGTCCCAATTTGAATAAACCTGCTGGAATAGCCCGCTTGGGCCGGTGAAGAAGGAATCGAAAGAACGTAGCAGGCGGATCGTTGATTTTACCTTTTGGATTTTCTCTGCACGTAGTTATGAGGCTGGATCTAATAGTTTCCGCTCTGAGATAGTAGAAAGGGTCAGAGGAGGTTGAAAGTTTGTACCCATATTTCTCCATCCTGCTGAGTAAATAGATCAACAATGTCAATAGATCAATATTCAGTAGATGGGTCAATATACTGTATATGGTATAATGGGTATAGGGTCAATGGATGCTATTAACTGCATTTTTGTATTAAATAGATCAGGTGTATTTAGTGATTAATTGAAGCTGAATTCTAAAACGGCAAAAATTGACAGTAAAGATATAGATTTAATAGATTGCGAAAAAGCGTTGATGCCCAGGGGGATAGATTTACCGCAAAGAACATTTATTTCATGAGTTTCAGTTTTCCTTATTTTTCGGGGAAGAAACTTTAGAACTTTCCTCGACGCCTGCCGACCGCATTATTAATGAAGCAAGGAGGACGTCCATTTACTCAAATTAAATGATAAGGTATTCATACGCACGAAAACTGAAACTTAAATGGTGTTCCAATTAGTTAAGTACTTGAAAATTAATATCCTCTCCCCGGCTAGTCCTCATCGCTTTGAAAGCTTTCTCATACCCCACACTCAATTTCATTCCTTGTTGAGTCCGAAAAGTGCACACAAGCTTATGAAGATGAGAAGGTAAAGAGATAGATACCATTACCAAAGTTGGAACTTCCGAGTATTTGTCGATATTAGCATAATGGAATCGCTTTCATGGGAACTGCATCCTTTGAGGCACTCGGTATCAATTAGATGGGAAAGCCCCTTCTGATCAAAGGAGGAGGAAAACCTCCATTCTTTTTAAGGGAGTCTCTTGGAGTCCCTTTGGAGTTTCTCCCTTACAGATGTTGAATCGATTCGAGGCTTAGCAGGCACCCCATGACTGATAGGGATGACACAGGAAATTGAAAGACTCTGCGCATTCCACCAACTCTCTGCACCCGGCTTATCTCATGCGAACACTCTTTGATGTTCACGATTCCCTTCGTTAAGCCTTTGAAAAGACGGACATTAGGGAGGAATGGATAGATCATACCAAAGGAAGGCGTCAATTTCCGTTCTCTTGAGTCAGTGTCGTCACTAATCAAATGATAGGTGCCAATGATGGATGGACGGGTCTGGAGGACCTGTAAAGAAATTGAAATGCAATAAGGTGGAGCGATGCTTCGTGAACGCCTTCCTGTTATTCCTGTATAGGCTTGCTTCGATATGTCTCGAGAATTTCCTTCTCTTTGACAAGCTCCCGGATATCCTCCTGATATTAGGTGTTTGAACTGACGAGTTTCTTTTGGGAATAATGGGGAAATGGGAAGAATCAGTGTTGTATAGGTCATTCCAGGCACGTCGGTCTTAGTCGTTAGGTTCATATAGTACGAAAGGATTCCTGTGGGAATCATTCTCGTTTCATCCTATAGATTGAGTTTCATCCTATATCTTGTCTTCAAGTTTGGACCAGGAGGAACCTAGTTTTGGTAAATGCACGAGAATGCTGGTAACTGCTTTGGATTCGATAAAAGTATTTGTTACGTCAAAATAACCAAATGGGAAAAACAATTTGTTAGAGATATGCAACAAAAAAACGATACCATGTCATTCCAGGCATCCATGCAGTAAATGATTGTTGAGAGAAACGGCAAAGAACGGAAATTCACGTTATATTGACGGGGGGAATAATCTCTGAGGTCAATAGGGCTTCAAAGCTGTCAGAGTAACGGGTGGGCTAGGTAGGTAACTAGGTAACTGGGTAGGTTACCCCTGAGATATTAGAAGTTCAGAATGTCCATGTGAGCCCAATCTTTGTCACAGCATAGGATGATACGCCGCCATATGCTGCGAGATTTCTTTTTCAGCACTGCTGACTGTTGTGTGGTTGACGCAAATGCTTCACGAACAGCAACTCTCAATTCCTCTGTTGTCCGTATGCATTGTTTTGCCACAATTTCTTTAATGCATCCCCACAACGAATTGCCGCAAGTACTGAGGTCCGGACTCCTTGCAGGCCACTTCAATGGTGCGGGTGATGTCTCAGATCCACGACCAATCCACCTGTTCGGGAACGCATCATTCAAGGAGTCTCTCACTGTGAGGGCGTAATGTGCTCCATCTGGCTGGAGCCACGCGTCCTGTCCTATGCCGAGCTAGTCGAGTTTTGGTCCGAAACAAATTTTCAATATGTTCAAATAATAAGCTTGATTGACAGATCCATTTAAAAAATATGGTCCAATGAGGTGGCGACTGCTCATTGCTGCTCACGTCGCGTTGTGTTGTGATTACGTTCAAGTTCCTGAACAAAGTGAGGATTTTTTTTTCTACTAAAAGAACACATTTCCCGAACGGCTACTACAATAGATTACACACTCGCCATAAAAAACAAAGTCTCTCCCCCAGAATCGTGATGAAGTTGATGAGTAATTGCTCGCCACATTCTTTCCTGTTATCCATGTCACGATCAGTTAGTTCGTTGATGAATTGGGGATGCCATTTGCGAACTTGCAGGTCTTTTTTCATGTGGTCTCTCATCGTTGACCTTGGAATGCCAAGCTCTGCGAATCTTTTCCGAGTTGATCTTACAGGAGAGAAAAATATTGATTCTTCAACTGCAGCGCAAGTTTTTTGATGTGTTGCTATTTTACCAGATCGCGGTTGGTCTTTGATGCTACCTGTGGTGAATAATTTTTTCTTCCAACTCCACAAAGTCACTTTAGAGGGCGCAGCTTTGCCAAATCTCTCTGTAAACTTACGGTATTGATGCTGATAGCTATCGTGTCCTCTGTGTTCATGCACCCACGTACTAGCCAAGATACGTTCTTCGATGCTATATGGTCATTATTCATAACCTTCAATAAAGAAAAATGCTGTAAGTACTACAGCATAGGGAAGAAAAAAAACTCTGCCACTGGGGACAATCCAAAGTCTCCGGGTGAACCCCATGTGGAATGACCAGATACCCATGTGGTCATGGTGATAAATTTTCAGTGATACTATAACTTCATAGACACCACAATGCGTCAGGAATGGAGCTGAGATGAAGCTTAAACTACGATTCAGGGACGTTAAAAGTCCTTTTAGGAATCTGGTGTCAGTAACAGAAAGGCTGCAGTTGAGGTGTTGAGGCAGCTATTCTCAAGCTTTCCATGTATGCGCACCCTAATGATACTGTCTTTGTGTCGCGCCCCCCCCCCTTTCCATTCTGAGAATAGAACCTGGGCAATCCTGTTTAAACATAGCCTATTCTGTGCTTTGGATATATTTTCGTTTTAAAATTAATGAAAAATAGAAATGACCGCAGTAGTTCAAATACAGGGTCATACCTGCACAAGCAGTTGGATGATCTATCATGAAATTTAATGAGAATGATGAGACTGCTTCTAGACTCACAACCCTCAAATCGGAGTTCGATTGCGTGAATAGCGACGGAAAGCTCATTTTCAAAATCCAGAGTTCCCAAATGGCATCTGTGTCTCGTCTCTTTATAGCAGCTAACGCAGAAAGCTCAATAATGAGAGTTGGCAAATGGAGGGAGAATCTCCATAATCCTGATTGAGAGCTGCTGATACCCCTCTTCGATGCTTAGTCTGGCAGTGCTTTTCCTATTTATTGAAAGGGCTGCCTGAGAGTGCTGTCACTGGAGAGCCAGATTATGATTGGCTTGAGATGGCTTGAGGCATTTTCTTTTCAAGGTTTGTTGAGTCTCCTTGTCTTTTCAAATATTTTTCAGTCGAAAAGTGGAGCAGTAGCCTTGCACTAAGAATTTAAGTCACAGCACAGATAAGGGGAATCTAGAGCTCCGATGCATGCCAAAAAAAAGCCTTTTCAAAATCTCAAGCATGCTTCCTTGGGTCAGCCTAATGGGAAAGCATCGCAGAAAATCAGGTGAACCGAGCAAATTTGCACTAGTGTCGTGACGGCAAAGGGAGAGTGAAAGAAAGGGAACCTGCATAAAATATGAGATTTCTAGGTAT